ATTCAGCTGTAAATTTGTACCCAGGGGTTTTCGGGGACGGGGAATCGATTGAAACCATTCATTTGATTGAGTCTACCAATTGGAACTCGGATCTAATGAAACTAAAACCCAGATCCAGTCCGGCCCATCAAGGACGTCCCGCACACTCTTTGTCTATAACTAAAAGACCTATAGCTACATTAGAACAGTAGCTTTATCGAATAGCTACAGTAACTTTGAATGAATAACTTGAATAATGACGTTTGAATCACTTTTCAACACTTTCAACACTTACTTCCACAATGTGAGAATGGAGAAAGCCCGTGAGATCGGCAACAAAGGTGAACAGATTAGGGAAAACCATGTGTACTCCATCTGGCCGAACTCTAGCCATGAAAGAGAAGCTGAGAGGCCAATCCAGATCTATATACCGTAAATACTGTAATAGTACCCCACCCCCATAATGACGGTGCGGAGCGTTGCGTAGTCTAGCTTTGAACGAGTTTTTCTCGACACTGGTTTATGCTACAATGCGCGCTTAGGTATCAAAAAATAGCCCTGAATTTCAGCTATTTTTTGATACCTAAGCGAGCATTGTAGCTTAAGCCAGTGTCGAGAAACCAGTGTCGACGCGTCCAAAGCTAGACTACGCAACGCTCCGCACCGTCATTACGAGGGTGGGGTACTAATACAGTATTTACGGCATCTATATCTATATATCTAAACTAAACAAATCACCAATGTCAGCTGTCGTTTATAACTTTAGCACAAAGTAAACTCACCATATGATGATTTGCCGGCTTCTCGGCGCTTGACAATTGAAACTTCTGGGCAAATTTTAGGATCGTCAATGTAGTCAAGAAGTCGAAGATTCTGAAAACTAAGGTTACGTTTCATTTTTTTTTTTGAAATTTTGATCCAACGATTTTGAAACCTTTCTTTTTTTTTTACCTTGAAAAGCCATTTCACAAAAATTTTTAAAGAAATTTGTTACCCAGAGCTGGCAAAATCATCCGGACAACTTTTCGAAAAAGTTTACGCGCGCTTAACTCATTTTAAAGTATCAAGTGTTATATAGGGAATTGTAGCCCTAAATCTTGGCTTCATTTCTCTATGAAAAGTTTCTCGATTGCAGTTATACAACTCAGTTTACAAGGCTTTGAATGTACAGCGTGTCGGAGAAGGATCAACTAGTACTCATGTTTCAAGGGCTTGTAAAATGAGTTGTGTATGTTCAATCGTGAAACTTTTAATAGATAAATGCAGCCAAGATTAGAAGTTTGAGCTTGTATTGGGTTGGTGAATTAAAAACTGCGGGACTTTGAACTAAAATTTATTCAATATAAAACCATCAATTGATTCCAAATAATTTCCATTATTATTGACGACTTCTGCCCATTTTGGAGGCAATTTGCGGATTCCTCTTTCGTAGTAGGGTTTTGGTTTGTGTGTGAGACAAGTGTGAGACTCAAAAATGGAGGACTGGAGATCTGGAGATGTCCCAGTTTGAGCACTTTCTTCAAAAGAAACCCATTTTGGTGTCAATAGAAAAGTTGTAGAGAATTAAAAATTAGGCTTATAGCCAAATTTCTAAAAAAGATACACTTAGTAGTTTCGCTTAAAATGCAAGTTTTGTGAAAATTCGTAAATTTGGCATTTCTTGAAAACCAAAATGAAAAATGAAATATTGGTCAAAATACGGCTGGAAAAATGCCCGTACAGTAAGGCAGACAGAAAGACAGACAGAAAGACAGACAGATACCGTAACCTCCCTCCCCTCCCCCTCCTTTTCCGTCATTTCATTTGTGAAAATTCGTAAATTTGGCATTTCTTGAAAATCAGTTTTTGAATCGTTCTGAAAATTTGGATATAAGCTTGATTTTTGATTCTCTACAACTTTTCCATTGACACCAAAATGGGTTTCTTTTGAAGAAAGTGCTCAAACTGTCACATATGACAATAGCCCCCAGTTTTCAATTCACCAACCCAATGAATTAAAAATAATAATAATAAAAAATAATAATTAAAAATAATAATTTAAAAAGTAATTAAACAAATTGGGTTTAATTTCATTTTACTTTAAATCAATTTAAAGGAATTCTCTCTTGAAATCATAAAATTCTGACGACAGATGCCTTTCGGACCGTCCACCGTACACTTTGCCTTTCAGACGTTTCCGCGCCAAACGTCGGAAACTACCGTAACCCGACGCAATAAAAGGACCCCGCCACAAAGAATTTTTCAGTCTTTCGTCGTGTTTTATTTTTTCAGTCTTTTTCCTTTTTTTTTGCATTGACACCAAAATGGGTTTCTTTTGAAGAAAGCGCTCAAACTGTCACATATAACAATAGCCCGCAGTTTTCAATTCACCAACCCAATATTTATAATGTTTTCTTTTTACCGTAACAAATAGAGTCCGCCGGTTCGATTCTGCGCGTGAACGATCGATGAGAGAAATGTTTCCAGAAATTTCGCCCCTACCGGCATCAGAAATTCTTTTGATGGGAAAGCTTGCTGCTGAATTTAACATTGAACATAGGCTATGCTGGCAATTTCACTTTAAAACTAGCATAGTTTGCATATTTTTGCATTTTTTGTTGAGCTGAACTTGCCTCTCATTTGCAAAAGTGGTGATTTCTGTTTAGAAACTTCTTTTTTCTTTAGAAACTTCTTTAGAAATGTCAATTCGAGATAAAGTTTACCTTTGGAAAGAGTCCTAAAATGTAGAATACGAAAAGGAAAAGCGTCGTTGAGAAATAGTGAAGAAAATGAATGACTGGAGTGCGCAGATCCGAGACAAAAAAGAATACATTGTGAGCACCTAAAATAATGAGTGCAAGATGGTGAAGTTGTTCATGAAGCCACCCGCACGCCCCTGAGGCCCCCGTCCGCTCCTCAGTCCCCCCGCACGCCCCTCAGGCCACCCACCAGCCCCTCAGGCCTCCTGCCCGCCTCTGAGGCCCCCGCCCGCCCTCAGGCCCCCCGTCCGCCCCTCAGACCTCCTGTTCATGAAGTCACCCACCGCTGAGGCCCCCCGCACGCCCCTCAGGACAAAAAAGAATACATTGTGAGCACCTAAAATAATGAGTGCAAGATGGTGAAGTTGTTCATGAAGCCAGCCGGCCCGCCCCTGAGGCCACCCGCACGCCCCTGAGGCCCCCGTCCGCTCCTCAGTCCCCCCGCACGCCCCTGAGGCCCCCGTACGCCCGCCCGCCATCAATTCTGATCAATTCTGATCAAACCTGAGAGAAAGAAAGACGCTGAAACGTTGACAAGCCACCAGAGAATGAGATCACGTTTTGGAGGAAACGCTCGTCTCAACTCTTTCTCATCCGACATTCAGAAATAGGAAGATTCTTTAAAATTTGAATATAAACAATCTGACTATAAACAATTTGAATATAAACAATTTGAATTTAAAGTTCCTCAGAGGGAAAAGAATTGATGGGGTAAATGGGGTGAAAGATCAAGATCTCTTCAGAGATTGTTCTCCGAGATCTGGGTTACTCCCTCTTTTCGCTTTCTTTTCCCGCTTTGTCGCAAGAAAATGAGGATTTTTGTGGGCCAGAAATAATGCGATTTGATTTTAAATTACAAATTTTGACTTTGAACTTTTGACTTTGAACTTTTGCTTACACAATTCATTAAGATTGGGTATGAAATATGGCTATTTGAAAGGATAAGCTTCACTACGAACACATGCAATGGTTTGCAAATGGTTTGCTAATTTCCGTTCTGGGGATAAATCCCCGGCAAAGGGAAGTCATCCAGTAGTCCAGCTGAATAATGGCAGTTCAGCTGGATAATGGCAGTTCAGCTAGATAATGGCAGTCGAGCATCCAGTAGTCCAGCTGGATAATGAGCAGTCCAGCATCCAGTAGTCCAGCTAGATAATGGCAGTCGAGCATCCAGTAGTCCAGCTGGATAATAGCAGTCGAGCATCCAGTAGTCCAGCTGGATAACGAGCAGTCCAGCATCCAGTAGTCCAGCTGGATAACGAGCAGTCCAGCATCCAGTAGTCCAGCTGGATAATGGCAGTCGAGCATCCAGTAGTCCAGCTGGATAATGGCAGTTCAGCTGGATAATGGCAGTTCAGCTAGATAATGGCAGTCGAGCATCCAGTAGTCCAGCTGGATAATAGCAGTCGAGCATCCAGTAGTCCAGCTGGATAATGGCAGTCGAGCATCCAGTAGTCCAGCTGGATAACGAGCAGTCCAGCATCCAGTAGTCCAGCTGGATAATGGCAGTCGAGCATCCAGTAGTCCAGCTGGATAACGAGCAGTCCAGCATCCAGTAGTCCAGCTGGATAATGGCAGTCGAGCATCCAGTAGTCCAGCTGGATAATGGCAGTTCAGCTGGATAATGGCAGTTCAGCTAGATAATGGCAGTCGAGCATCCAGTAGTCCAGCTGGATAACGAGCAGTCCAGCATCCAGTAATCCAGCTTGCTGTTGCAGTTGCTCGAAATTTTTCAAACCAAGGTTTAAGTCTTGAAAAATCAATGAGAAAACGAGGAGAGAATTTCGGGATTTAAACCGATGATCACTTTTTTTCCGGATTACTTTGAGTTGGGTAGACGTTGAGTTGAAATTGTAAATGCAAATGTATTTTTAAATGCAAATGCCTTGTAAGTGCAAATGTATTTTTAAATGCAAATGTCTTTGTAAATGCACCCATTTTCAGTTTAGACACATTCGAGTAAACTTAATTCCATTTATTCACTTGTTTTACGAAAAACTCCTTAACAAAAACGAAAATAAGATGCTAGAAATTAACTTTAAACAACTTTAAACAGCTTTAAACAACTTTAATTGCAAAAAAGAATAGATAACAGATAGAAAAGTGAAGAGATTTCAGATCACACCACGATTTGACTAGATTTCCAATTGTTTCATTTGTTTGGTTTAGTTTTGAGGAATGAGAAAAGCTTTTTGGATTTGGTCTTGGATTCTGAGATATCAAAAATATCTATTTTTCAAAGTTAGAACTACAATTTAGGATCTAATCTATTCTTTGATTTTAAAATTTTCCCTCGAATTGCTTGTGTCGCCGATGGAGACGCCGCCGACGCTCGTCCCATTCTCGGAGATACTCCTGGAAAATTCCTGTACTTTAGAACATGAATAGAAACACAGCCTTTCTGGCATACTAAGCCCATAGCTTTTTATATCAAGGCTTATATCGAAACCATAAAATAAACCAAAGGCTATTTATCCGGGTCAGTATTTCTAGCTGGCTCAAATCAAGGATGTTCAAGATTTACGACGACTCCTTTTTGATAGATTAGCTCTCAAGTTCAACCCTAAGTGTTATATAGAATATTGAAGCTCTTAATCTTGGCTACATTTATCTATTAAAAGTTTCTCAATCAGATGTATACAGCTTATTTTACAAGGCTTTGAATGAGTACAGTGTGCCGGAGAAAGATCAACTAGTACTGATGTTTCAAGGGCTTTTAAAATGAGTTGTATATGTCCAATAGTCAAACTTTTAATAGATAAATGTAGCCAAGATTAAGGGCTTTAATATTTTAATTAGCACTTAGGGTTGAACTTGAGAGCTAATCTATTAAAAAGAAGTCGCCGTAAATACTGAACAGGGTTGGGCAAAATTATCCGGACAACTTTTCGAAAAGATTTTCGCAGGCTTAACCCATTTTAAAGTATCAAGTGTTATATAAAATATTAAAGCCCTTAATCTTGGCTACATTTATCTATTAAAAGTTTGACTATTGGACATATACAACTCATTTTAAAAGCCCTTGAAACATCAGTACTAGTTGATCTTTCACCGGCACACTGTACTCATTCAAAGCCTTGTAAAATAAGCTGTATACATCTGATTGAGATACTTTTAATAGATAAATGTAGCCAAGATTAAGAGCTTCAATATTCTATATAACACTTAAAATATTAGAATTGAACTTGGCGCTTAGGAGCTATCAAAAAGAAGTCGCTGTAAATACTGAATCCCTGTACTTAGGCCCACAAAAATACCTGTGTCAGACAGAAGCTATAAAGAATAAAATCATAAAGAAGAATAAAGAAAGATAAAGAATAAAATCATAAAAGTTGTTCATAAAGAATACAATTTTCAAATGCAGCTTTCCAGGCGGAATCCCTTCGATCTAGGGATTGCGCCTGGAAAGCAAAAAGTTCGATCGAACCTAATCACTGTAAATACTGTAATCAGAGTTATTTCAGGTACTTTTTTCAGGCTGAAAAGCCAGACTGAAAGCCAGGCTGAAAGCCAGACTGAAAGCCAGGCTGAAAGCCAGGCTGAAAGCCAGACTAAGCCAGACTGAAAGCCAGGCTGAAAGCCAGGCTGAAAGCCAGACTGAAAGCCAGACTAAGCCAGACTGAAAGCCAGGCTGAAAGCCAGGCTGAAAGCCAGGCTGAAAGCCAGACTGAAAGCCAGACTAAGCCAGACTGAAAGCCAGGCTGAAAGCCAGACTGAAAGCCAGACTAAGCCAGACTGAAAGCCAGGCTGAAAGCCAGGCTGAAAGCCAGACTGAAAGCCAGACTAAGCCAGACTGAAAGCCAGGCTGAAAGCCAGACTGAAAGCCAGACTAAGCCAGACTGAAAGCCAGGCTGAAAGCCAGGCTGAAAGCCAGACTGAAAGCCAGACTAAGCCAGACTGAAAGCCAGGCTGAAAGCCAGACTGAAAGCCAGACTGAAAGCCAGGCTAAAAGCCAGACTGAAAGCCAGACTGAAAGCCAGACTAAGCCAGACTGAAAGCCAGGCTGAAAGCCAGACTGAAAGCCAGACTAAGCCAGACTGAAAGCCAGACTGAAAGCCAGACTGAAAGCCAGACTGAAAGCCAGACTGAAAGCCAGACTAAGCCAGACTGAAAGCCAGGCTGAAAGCCAGTCAATCCAGAAATAAAGTCTTGGACTGGCATTGTTTGACTAGGCTTTTTCACCCTCGATTGTTTGATTATAGACTCTAGAGTCCGATTTTACTATTACCAGGTTCTACCCAGTTGGAACACTCCTTGCTATTAATGGTTGTACCCAACACTCATTGTTATCAATGACTAAACTGATTTGATCACCGCTTTGATCATGCTTTGATCCAGCATAACTAACAAGTTAAAGTTAACAAGTTAAACACAGTTAAACATTCATTTCTCGTCGAGTTCTTGAGCAAATAGTTACCGAGGCTGACCCTCTGATTTATTTAAAAAGGCCACCAGAGTACGGGATCTTTTCAAAAGGCATTTTTTTAGAAAAACCGTGAAGAACATTGTCTAGAGCACGACTAAAAGCTGAGATAATGTTAAAATGTTGAAAAGGTGCACTTTGAGCTACCATATTTCAGGTTTAAAATCAAAATTTACCTCCAATTTCTCCTCATTGAGCTCTCTCCATTGGATGTTGACCTCAATATTCTCGAAGAGTTGCTCCAATTTGCTTCGATTATTTTCCAACTGAAACTTTTGATATTTCTAGATGTAATTCTTGTTTTTGTAAGTTTTCTATTACATTTTTCGATTCCAAGAACTCTTTGAGCTCTTCCAAGTCGTGCTTTGTACTCGTCTTGTCGACGAGACCGCGGATACAGGCGAAGAGGAGATTGCTGCCCTTGCCGAGGCTGGAAAGGTCGGATTTTTGAAAGTTTACAGCTAACTGAACAGCTAACTGAACAGTTAACAGATACGATTTAATATATTAATCTATAAAACAATATATAAAACCTACATCTCCTCATAATCGTCGTAATTGATACGGAAAAATCGCCAAGCCGCCGTCCTCGACAGTTCGTTCTTCGCCAACGCACTCAACACCCAGTGAATCGTGTTCGCCTTGATCGATTTCGAGTCGAGAGTCATTCGGAGTAATCTATTAGGTTTTCCAGTTATGAATGCTCTTGAACAGCTAACTGAACAGCTAACTGAACAGCTTACGGAATAGCTAACTGAACAGCTAAATGAACAGCTAACTGAACAGCTAACTGAGCAGCTAACTGAACAGCTAATTGAACAGCTAACTGAACAGCTAACTGAACAGCTAACTGAGCAGCTAACTGAACAGCTAACTGAAAAGCTTACGGAGCAGCTAACTGAACAGCTTACGGGGCAGCTAACTGAACAGCTAACTGAACAGCTAACTGAACAGCTAACTGAACAGCTAACTGAACAGCTAACTGAGCAGCTAACTGAGCAGCTAACTGAACAGCTAACTGAACAGCTAACTGAACAGCTAACTGAACAGCTTACTGAACAGCTAACTGAACAGCTAACTGAGCAGCTAACTGAGCAGCTAACTGAACAGCTAACTGAACAGCTAACTGAACAGCTAACTGAACGGCTTACGGAAGTTTTGTCTCTGTATAGAAGATATTCAAATCTATATTTTTAGTTTAATGGTTCAGTTTGATAGTTAAAGTTTAGGCAGGTTAAAGTTAAAGTTTAAACAGTTTAAACAGGCTCTTTTTCCTCACCGATTCACAAGTTTTGGATCCTTTGTCGCCGCCATTCCCTCCATTAGATTTTGCTTTGCTTTTGGTGTGGTGGCTGATTGAAAAGCGGTATAGGCCTAAAAAAGAGAAGAAGAAATTTGAGTGCTCCAGAAAAGGTGTTTACATGAAAGCACAGAGTACATTCTCATAACAAACCTTTTCCCATAGAGCTGAATCTCCGTGCTTGATTCCTTCGGAGAAAATGATGTCTTGAAGTTCGGGGGTAACCCTGAATAGTTTATTGACTCGTCTTTGACCGTCTTTGACCAAAATGTGGCAACTTTCTCAATGATCTTGTCTCTATTTTTTATCTAATCTATCTACTTTTATTATTTTTCAATATCCTTTTGTGAATCCTCACAAAATCAGACAAAAATAGATAGTTTGGCATGTCTATTTGGTAGTTGAGAAAATTGAGAAGTTGAGTTGAGGTAGTTGAGAAAGTTGGCTCATTTTAGAAAGCTAGCTTTTAAAACTAACGGTTTCTTCGATACAGCCCATTGATTGAATCGTTGAATTGCTTTCTTCGAGCAATCGCCGTGATTTAAACGGCAAGCAAATGAGAGAACTGTTTGCTGGAGACCACGACGAGATGGGCTTTCCTAAAATATTTGGCTTGGGCTTGGCTTGGCTTAGCTTTGACTCTGGCTTAGCTTTGACTTTGGCTTGGCTATTGCTTGGCTTGGCTATTGCTTGGCTTGGCTATTGCTTGGCTTGGCTATTGCTTGGCTTGGCTATTGCTTGGCTTGGCTATTGCTTGGCTTGGCTATTGCTTGGCTTGGCTATTGCTTGGCTTGGCTATTGCTTGGCTTGGCTTGGCTATTGCTTGGCTTGGCTTGGCTATTGCTTGGCTTGGCTTGGCTATTGCTTGGCTTGGCTTGGCTATTGCTTGGCTTGGCTTGGCTATTGCTTGGCTTGGCTTGGCTATTGCTTGGCTTGGCTATTGCTTGGCTTGGTTTGGCTATTGCTTGGCTTGGCTATTGCTTGGCTTGGTTTGGCTATTGCTTGGCTTGGCTATTGCTTGGCTTGGTTTGGCTATTGCTTGGCTTGGCTATTGCTTGGCTTGGCTTGGCTATTGCTTGGCTTGGCTTGGCTATTGCTTGGCTTGGCTTTGGCATCTTTCTCTGGTCGGATTGGGTTCCGTTTAGGCATTTGGGTACACCTTAAAAACTTCGGCATAGTGACGGCGAGACCGGAGAAGTTGACTCAGCACCTTTTAGCATTCCAAAAGCCTATCTATCTTGGACGTATGCCAGATGGAGAGCGATTACGCGGCCGCACAAAGAACAGCAGGAATTTACAGGAATTTTCTTTTGTTCGGTAAATGATTCCGAAATGAGATTTAAGGTTGAAGATTTGTACTCCGGGGTTTTCAGGGTCGTAGAATCTATTGGTGGGGTTTATTTTAACCCTTTGTCCCAAGAAAACCCTCAAGAGAATCGAATTGGTTTGGGATTTGTATATGAAAGCTTTTCAAAATGAAAAGACCCGGATTTCGAGAAGAATCAGCTATTCTATCTTATCATTTTGATGTACTAGTATTATAAAGTACAGCACTATTTCTCAAAGTGTAAACACATTTGATCTGGTGCAGATCTGGCGCAGATCTGGTGCAGATCGAACACAAAGTACGCCCTTTTCTTTAGTAGCTTATGTAGCTCAAAATAAAGCTTATCTACCTCCTTCTCGTCACTTTCCCCATCATCCCAGCCAAGTTCCTCATAAACTTTCACCACCAACGATCGTTGGAAATCCTAAAAGAACATTAAAAATTCGATATTTAGATAATTTAAACAAACCCTAAATAAATGAATATAATCCGTTTCTTCAATCAATCCCTCAATCGATTCCATTTGTTGGCTGATCATCGTCCAAGCCATTCGATCACGCTCATCTAAGAAATGACATTGAAAGCTGATTGAAAGCTGATTGAAAGCTGATTGAAAGCTGATTGAAAGCTGATTGAAAGCTGATTGAAAGCTGATTGAAAGCTGATTGAAAGCTGATTGAAAGCTGATTGAAAGCTTATTGAAAGCTGATTCAAAGCTGATTGAAAGCTGATTGAAAGCTCATTCAAAGCTGATTCAAAGCTCATTCAAAGCTCATTCAGCTCTCATTCAAAGCTCATTCAAACCTCATTCAAACCTCATTGAAAGCTCACTGAAAGCTCATTCAAACCTCATTCAAAGCTCATTCAAAGCTCATTCAGCTCTCATTCAGCTCTCATTCAAACCTCAATCAAAGCTACGACAAAACTCCATTTACAGGGTGCGTCATAATTATTGCAACAAGATACTCAAGGCATTGCACACCAAGAAGTTTGACTGGAAGAAGATTGTTAAACAGAAATAGCTTTATTTAACAGTAACAAATAAGGAAACAAGAGATCATTCGATATGACCGCCTTTTGCCTTGATAACAGCCCTTAATCGGTTCGGATATGTCTCCACTGCGGCCCGAATGTCATCTTGAACCCGAATCTTGAGGAGTCGCCTTCCATCCTTTGGTCAAAGACTTCTTCAAAGAATCCAAACTTGTGTGTTTTCGAGAGCAGACATTAGCCTCTAAGATTGCCCAAATGGAAAAGTCCATCACATTGAGATCCGGTGAGTTTGGAGACCATTCATTCTTGGTTGGATGAATGGCCACACACTGAGGGAAAGTTGGTCACACACCAGTCCTGAACCGTCTTCTTCGTGTGAGCGGGAGCTCCATCTTGCATGAAGATTCAATTTTGATTGTTATTGGCTTTACACGCCCATGACATCACAAACGGTCTTTGAACTCTTGTTGCAATAATTATGACGCACCCTGTAATTCCACTCACCCTCAGCATACTGTACCATATCCATATACGTGCCAATATCTAAAAGCCCGACTTTTGTGAAATCAAACGCGTCCGTGATTAGCATCGTTCGATCGATTGCTGAGATTTCCTGGAAAAGAAAAGCTTTGGTACTTTTTTTTTTAGCTTTGCTTCCAAAAACTCACCGAATGATCCCTATTCAGTTGTCGATTCAACTCTCGATAGATTTTCTTATCGTAGAGCACTTTGAAGTAACCGATTCCCCCGGAGTTCGCGATCACCCATTTTGAGGGAGAGTCAAGGCGCCAGTGTACTAAATATTAAGTTCGTCGATCGTCGATCGACGAAATGAAATGAAACCCCTTCTTTCTTTCTTTCTTTCTTTCTTTCTTTCTTTCTTTCTTTCTTTCTTCTTCCCCCCTGTCTTTCCCTTCTTTTGTTGACAAGTTAAGGTACCGAATAGCTCAGTTGCTAGCCCGCTCAATTGCCCGGAAAGCGAAAGGTCGAGGGTTCAATCCCTTCTCCGGAAATCTACAATTCCTTCACTTCTTCATTAACAAACTTAGCAACACCAAATTCAAGAATTTCCTATGCTCCTGCTAACGGAAGCAGCTCCTGCTAACGTACCACCGATTAGTTACCATATCGTGTACAGTATCTAGTGTGTACTATTTTAGAAATCTTGTAAACCTCCTCACCCTTTTGCTCTCCCGGTCGCAACCATTTCAGCTGTGGTTCTCCTTTGTCATCAGTTCTGAAATGCACGGGGATCGGCCATTCCAAATCCTCGTCATCCTCATCTTCATTACTTCCCCTTCCTTTTTTCTGCATTTTCTTCTTTTCCTTTTTCTCTTTTTCATCATCACTGTCATCATCGTCCTTTCCATTTTCATCCTCTTCATCTTCTTCGCTTTCATCTTTATCTCCAGCTTTATCTCCAGCTTTAGCTTTAGCTTTATCCTTATCTCCATCTCCATCTCCATCTCCATCTTTATCTCCATCTTTATCGTTCTTTTTGTGATCTCGATCAAAGAGGAATCGTGTCTAAATTAGAAATTTGTATAAATATCAGTTTTTCCTACGATATGATAATGATTACGAGCTTTTAAAGTGTAGTTTTTCAACTCAAACCTGATTGTGCACCAAAATCTCCTCATCATTATTGACCAAACCGATTTGAATCAATGGATAGCCAACCTAAAAGATTTTTTGGATTTGATTTCAGATTTTAGATTTTAGATTTTTGTTTATAGATTTTAGATTCTATTGGGTTGGGGAGAATGAGTCGGCGCCGAAAATCAAAAAAATGTCTAAAACTTCAATTCGACTTCGTCAAATAATATGCGTTTGATATGAGTAGAATGGTTAACTAATTCTCTACAAAATCACATTTAAAAGAAAATTCAAACAGCGCCTCCGCTCAAGAAAAAGCCATTTTTTCACAAAAACTACAAACTGTGATCTAGAAAAAACCATTGGTGGGATCTTCCTGCAAATTTGGCAACTTAAGTAATAGAATGTGCTCTATCTTTTTTATATAAACACCAAAGAAGGTTTATGTGAAAGAAACTGTTCAAATGATGAGTCGGACTCTTTGCCATTTTAACCAGCTGCGTTTGGAAGTTCATAAACTCCACGAAAGAAAAGCTTTGTGGAATCTCTCAAAAGTCATTTTGTAGAGAAATAGTGGATCCTTTTGATGAAACCAAACGTATGTTTAAAGAAGGCTTTATGTGTGCAAAAAGTCCCTTTAAATTTTTGGCGCCGACTCATTCTCCCCAACCCAATAGATCTAGATTTTAGATTTTAGATTCTAGATTCTAGATTTTAGATTCTAGATTCTAGATTCTAGATTCTAGATTCTAGATTCTAGATTCTAGATTCTAGATTCTAGATTCTAGATTCTAGATTCTAGATTCTAGATTCTAGATTCTAGATTCTAGATTCTAGATTCTAGATTCTAGATTCTAGATTCTAGATTCTAGATTCTAGATTCTAGATTCTAGATTCTAGATTCTAGATTCTAGATTCTAGATTCTAGATTCTAGATTCTAGATTCTAGATTCTAGATTCTAGATTCTAGATTCTAGATTCTAGATTCTAGATTCTAGATTCTAGATTCTAGATTCTAGATTCTAGATTCTAGATTCTAGATTCTAGATTCTAGATTCTAGCTTTTAGATTTTAGATTCTAGTCCAGATATTGCTCCATCTGACTACCATTTATTTCAAAGTATGCGGCATTCACTCGAAAGCCAGAAGTTCCAGAAACTTGACCACATCAAAAAATGGGTCTCTGCTTTCTTCCAATCAAAACCAGCACAACTCTTTCAAGAGAGTATCCATAATTTGCGTCAAAGATAGAAAAATGTTATTGATAGCTGTGGGGAATATATTGTTGATTAATTGTTTCTAGTTTATTTTTACGAATAAATTTTGTTGTTGCTCAAAAACGAAATTTCGATGTCGCCAACCTAATAGATTTTAGATTCTAGATTTTAGCTTTTAGATTCTAGATTCTAGATTTTAGATTCTAGATTCTAGATTCTAGATTCTAGATTCTAGATTCTAGATTCTAGATTCTAGATTTTAGCTTTTAGATTCTAGATTCTAGATTCTAGATTCTAGATTCTAGATTTTAAATCAATAATGAGCAATGAATCGTTTTAAATCAAACAATATAATAAACAATTTTGCTAATAATGTGTCGAGAAATAACGCTAAAACCTGTGTGGTGAATGCTTTAGCGAGAGACTCGACGGTGACTCCATGTGGCAATGAAGCGTGCTAAAAGGAAATATTTTGAGAATTTTCTCAATTTCTGTAAAATCATGGTCCAATGGCAGATTAAACAGAACCAAATTTGTACCATAATGGAACGAAATCATTAGGAAACCATTATGAAACAAAATCTGTGTCATAATGGAACCAGCTCTTATTAATGGAACGAAATCTGTACCATAATGGAGCCAAATACTTTGAATAAATAAGCAATCAATCAAGCTACAGAAAGAAATTAATCAAGCTTTGAATTGATTTTGCTTTTCTGTTACGATGCATCGTCCGAAGCAGCTTCCCTTATTACGATATGGTACGATTAATAGCTTCCCTTATTGCGATAGGTACGATTCGCAGTAGCTGTACGTAAGCGAGACGATCTGCGAGAAAGAAAAATGTACAGATTGACACTACGTTGAATGTTGAAACTACTTGGGTATTAGTAAACCGTACTCCAGCGAAATAAGAAAAACCAGGAAGAAGAAAGAGACTGCTCAAGGAAGTAGAAAGAGATTTCTCCCTGTGTCAGTGGCTACATTATACAACAAAATACGTTACCTTTTCCACAATTCTCCACAATTCCTCTCCTTTCGCATTGTCGTATTTGTACTTGTTGAGGTACTCGATCAAAGCCTAAATAACATATCTACAGTACCCACAGTATCTCATATTATATAGCAAGTCTACGAGGAGCTCCCGTTCACTCACCTTCTGGAAGTACCATTCCCCAGCCAATCCCTGCAGCATGTGAATGATCGCGGCCGCCTGAATACTCATTTTAGGCTTTGATACCTTATTCTAAACCTTGTGATAAGAGATTGCGTCGAAAAGAGACATGATATTCGTCGTGTTACTCTCTAAACCGGCGTTGATCGGTCGAGATGAGCTCAAGCCATCCGGCTCCATCGCTGATCCGGCGTTCTCCGCGTAGAAACGGGACATCTAAATTTGGCATATTGCAATACTGGACTTTTTTGGGTTACCGTAACATTGTGTAGCAGAAATGGTTAAAATGGAAATTTTCTAAGCTTAGCATTGATTCTGGTCCAGTTCCGCATGCTTTCCTGATCCTGACAAGCTTTCCTGATCTGGATCAGGAAAGCTTGTCGTTGGCGGGACTCGAACCCACCGCGAAAAGCGGTATCGGTTCTGTAGTCCGGCACACTACCCTCTAGGCCACCGTTGCTCTTTTTTGGGCTCTCTTATTGGCTTATGGCGCGCTTTTATTGGCTATTTGGCTCTTATTGGCTCGGAAATGCTCGCTGCACCAGAAGGAATGCGTTCACGCTTGAGCACAAAGTACACACGGGCAAGTCTAGACACTACTCTTTGTTCTTTATGATGTACTTTGTGCTTAAGCGTAAACACGAGCTTTCTAGTGCACGGGATTCTTCTGTTGTTTGGTGACAAAAATTCTCTTATTCAGAAAAATAAGAAACCAATGTGCCAGAAGGGATGCGTTCACGCTTGAGCACAAAGTACACCACAAATCTTGTCGGACTTGTCTTTGCGTGTACTTTGTGCTCAAGGGTAAACACTAGCTCTCTCGTGCACGGGGTTTCCCGGGATCTTCGTTTTCTTGTAACAATCACTTTTGCTTAAAGAATTCTGTGCGCCAGAAAGGATGCGTTTACACTTGAGCACAAAGTACACCACAAATCCTGTCTAGTTCAGACTTGTTTTGTGAAAGAAGACAAAAGCTCTCGTAGTCTAATAAGACACCAGAAATACCGTACCCTAAACAATGGCGCCCTCAAATGCGTATAAAAGGACGCCTCCTTCCCCATCTAATCAGAGTTTTCTCCTATTTTGATTTGTTCTTTGCGCGTAATTTGTGCTCAAGCGTAAACACTAGCTTTCTCGTGCACGGGGTTTCCCGGGATCTCTGTTTTCTTGTAACAATGACTTTTGGTTAAAGAATTCTGTGCGCCAGAAAGGATGTGTTTACGCTTGAGCACAAAGTACACCACAAATCTTGCCAGACTTGTCTTTGCGTGTACTTTGTGCTCAAGCGTAAACACTAGCTTTCTCGTGCACGGGGTTTCCCGGGATCTTTGTTTTCTTGTAACAATGACTTTTGGTTAAAGAATTCTGTGCGCCAGAAAGGATGTGTTTACGCTTGAGAACAAAGTACGCGCAAAGAACAAATCAAATTTGAATTAACACCAAAGCAAAAAAAGTTGAAAACGATAAAAATGACTTTTCGAAGGGATAAAAATCTTCAAAATCATTTCAGAAGCTCTAAAAAAGTAAAGATCTATAAATCTATCAAATAATTCGATTCTAGACAAGAAAAATGAAGACCTGAGTGCCCCAGAAAGGCTGTGTTCACAAATGAACACCCCCCCACTCACAATTTTCCATTTCGGGAAGATATGATCCACGCATTTGTACTCCATATAATTGGCGAAACCCTCATTCAGCCACAAGTCATTCCACCAATCCATTGTCACCAAATTCCCGAACCACTAAAATTTTAGCATAAAGAAATGATCGACAAAGAATTTGGCAGCCAGCGGAATTGAACCCTCGACCTTCACCTCGACCTTCTGCTTACCAGGCAGATGCTTTACCACTGAGCTATCGGCGCCTTCTCTGTTCGGGGAGAAATACTTCACTCCCTTTGGAGTAAGGGAGATCGGCTGCGTTGTAGTGTGGTGGTTAGCACAGTTGCCTGGTAAGCGAAAAGTCGCGGGTTCGAGTCCGAGCGGCGCACAAGATCTGCTTTGATCTTTTTGATTTTTGATCTGCTGAATTAAATAGGAAGAAAGGAAGAAAAAGAGGGAAATACCCGGATCGAAGATAAAGAAAGCTTTGTGTTGATCAGCAAAATCAGCAAAAGCAAAATATTTGCAGCAGAATCGCATGCAGAAGAATGAACAGATAACAATCCAGATCCAGTTCCAGATCCGGTTCCAGATCCAGATCCAGATCCAGATCTAGATCCAGATCCAGATCCGGTTCCAGATCCAGACCCAGATCTAGATCCAGATCCAGATCCAGATCCAGATCCAGATCCAGATCCAGATCCAGATCTAGATCCAGATCCAGATCCAGATCCAGATCCAGATCCAGATCCAGATCCAGATCCAGATCCAGAGCCAGATCCAGATCCAGATCCAGATCCAGATCCAGATCCAGATCCAGATTCAGATCCAGATCCAGATTCAGATCCAGATGATACGAAGTTAGATAAAAGATAGCTAAACCAAACCTGATGTGCAATCTCGTGACAAATGACAAGTGCAATGTGTTCTTTGCTCAACTCGCCACTCGTTTTCTCGTTGTACAACAAGCTTGAGTCTCTGAAAGTCTCTAAGCTTTTTCAAATTTCTCTTTTTTTCATCTATTTAAAGCTTTATCATAAAAGTTGAAGAAAATAGAAACGGTTAGGATACCAGAAACCATTCGTTTACACAACCACAATAAACACGTTGCTATATTTGGTACCTAAACGTGATGAGACCCCAATTCTCCATGGCTCCTTCGGCGAAATCATCAAGTGCTAGGAGATCTAAACTTTGTTTATAATAAAGTTCTCGATTTTCTCACTCACCAACTTTATCTAGTGGATAAGAGATATTGAAATAGTCTTCGAAATACTCTAAAGCTTTTGTAGCTACATCAAGACCGAAATCGGCTTGGCCTTTGAGAACATCACGGGAAGCGTAGAGACGGACCTGGAAATCAGGCTTTTGTCGTGCTTTTGTTGGCTCAAGTACTCCATGTGCTAGCCGGGATATTGGTTTAATCAAGCCTGAGAAAATCTCTACAAGATTTGGTTTGTCTAGTCAACTCAGGACAATCGATTGAAGCAATTCATTTCATTGAGTCTACCAATAAGGACTTGGATCTAATGGGACTCTATCTAATGGGACTCTATCTAATTGGACTCTATCTAATGGGACTCTATCTAATTGGACTCTATCTAATGGAACTCTATCTAATAGAACTCTATCCAATAGAACTCTATCTAATGGGACTCTATCTAATGGGACTCTATCTAATTGGACTCTATCTAATGGAACTCTATCTAATGGAACTCTATCTAATGGAACTCTATCTAATGGAACTCTATCTAATGGAACTCTATCTAATGGAACTCTATCTAATGGAACTCTATCCAATAGAACTCTATCCAATAGAACTCTATCTAATGGAACTCTATCCAATAGAACTCTATCTAATGGAACTCTATCCAATAGAACTCTATCCAATAGAACTCTATCTAATGGAACTCTATCTAATAGAACTCTATCCAATAGAACTAATTATAAAATCCGGATTCGGCCTGTCCAAGACTCTTAGTCTATAACATTAGAACAGTAGCTTCAGTATTAGAACAGTATTGAATAGCCACAAAACCAGTTTTTGATCTCTTAAATAACAGTAAGTAAAGCTTTTTGTCAAATGGAGTAAAACTGTAAGAATTCTTTGTGCTTACCTCAATCGGTTCAGCCGTGGTCTTCGTAAGTCGCTTGTTGTAATCGTAATTATCGAGCACTGCCACAGCCAAAAGATACGTCGACATTTTCACGCTTTTCTCGAATACATCAATGTAGAGTCTGGAATTAAACACTCTAGCAAATATTCATAGCTGAAAAACAACCCAATGAGAACCAAATTTGGACTTAATAGGAACCGAAAGAGAGCCGAATTGGAATCGAATAGGGATCGAATAGGAATCGAATAGGAATCGAATAGGAACTTGATTGGAACTATTAGAACCGATTGGGAGCCGAATGCAAATGCAATTGGAACCGAATAGGAATCGAATAGGAATCGAATAGGAATCGAATAGGAATCGAATAGGAATCGAATAGGAATCGAATAGGAATCGAATAGGAACTTGATTGGAACCGTATTGGAACCGAGTGGGAGCCAAATGATAACCGAATAGGAATCGAATTGGAACCGAATGGAAACCGAAGAGGAATCGAATAGGAACTTGATTGGAACCAAATAGAAACCGAATGGAAGCCAAATGGAAACCGAAGAGGAACCGAATAGGAACCGAATTGGAACCGAATTGGAACCGAATTGGAACCAAATAGAAACCGAATGGAAGCCAAATGGAAACCGAATAGGAACCGAATGGAAACCGAAGAGGAACCGAATAGGAATCGAATTGGAACCGAATGGAAACCGAAGAGGAACCGAATTGGAACCGAATTGGAACCAAATAGAAACCGAATGGAAGCCAAATGGAAACCGAATAGGAACCGAATGGAAACCGAAGAGGAACCGAATTGGAACCGAATGGAAACCGAATGGAAACCAAATAGGAATCGAATAGGGATCAAATTGGAACCGAATCGGAGCCGAATGATAACCGAAGAGGAACCGAATAGGAAACGAATTGGAACCGAATTGGAACCGAATTGGAACCGAATTGGAACCAAATGGGAACCGAATAGAAGCCAAATGGAAACCGAATAGGAGCCGAATGATAGCCGATGAGGAACCGAATAGGAACCGAATGAAAACCGAAGAGGAACCGAATTGGAACCAAATGGAAATCGAATTGGTATCGAATGGGAACCAAATGGAAACAGAAAGGGAACCGAATAGGAACCAAATAGGAACCGAATGGAAACCAAAGGGGAACCTTTCAAAGTCACCAAATCTTTCAAAGTCTCACCCTTCTTCCGAGTGTTCTCGAGTGACCCGGAGATTTGTGTTACTCCTTGTCACGTGTTCAGGCTCACGCACAACCGATACCTAGATATTTTTGTTATGATTTCGATATAAATTCTATTTGTCTAAACTTCTATTTGTCTAAACTTTTGTAGATTTTCCCGAACCTGGAATGTCGCTTTCAGATTGGGCTCGTCGAAGCACGGGAAAGCCTTGCGCGCATGATTCGGCTCAAACTGAGAAGCCACGGATTTCCTGAGAAATGTTTGTTCTTTGTTTTCCTTTGTTCAATTTTTGTATCTAGATCTATCCAATGCATGGAAATAGTACTTTAATATTATAAAAAGCAGCTATGCCTGCAGCCCTTACAGTTATCCCTTCAAAATCTAACCAAATCTTTCCATTATTTGAGTGATGCGTGCTGATGTAGAGACCGTGCATATCAGCCAACATCAATCCGTCATATTCGATGCCCAGAACGATCTAAAGAAAAATAAATAGGTATTGTTGAAGCTCGATATGCTTTTGAACGTTTTCTACTAATCACTCTGCTACTATTCTGTGACGACGAGTCACCAAAAGCTCTCGTAGTCTAATAAGACATCAGAAATACCGTACCCTAAACAATGGCGCGCTCAAATGCGTATAAAAGGACGCCTTCTTCCCCATCTAATCAGTTTTCTCTCATTTTGGTTCTTGTGAACATTTCTTGATTCTTGGGAAAATTGCTTTCTTTTGTTCGAGATACTTCCACAATTTTCATCAAAGTCATTCCTTTTTGGCTTTAGGCTTAGGCTCAGGCTTGGGCTTAGGCTTAGGCTCAGACTTGGGCTTAGTGCGAAGGCTAGCGGCTAGCGGCCAGCACCTCGCACTAAGTCTATTTGGGTTTGGACTGAACCCCCATTTTCTGGATCTCAGCCGTTTCCCGGAGTTAGGCTTAGGCTTAAGATTAGGCTTTGCAAGTCAAGTTCAAATAAAGTGCAGCTGACTTATAAGCCTAAGCCTGAGCCTAAACCTGAGCCTAAGCCTGAGCCTGAGCCTGAGCCTTCACACGCTTTGCCCCATGTGTATTGAATAAACTTGGTTTTGGTGATTCATTCAAGCAAAAGCAAAGATCTAGCCACGTGAATTCAAGGGAAAGCACACTAGTATTTCGTAAGACTGAGCAAATTCGTTTTGATAGACCCTCTCGAGTTGTTTTAGGCTTTTCAGTCCACAACTTAGACGTTAGGTGTTCAAGCTTTGTATGACTTTTGGCATTGAGCTGATCTGGTCTCGCCTGGCTTGACTTTTCCTGGCCTAGTCTGGCTTTAGCTGGCTTTGGTTGGCTTTGGCTGGCTTTAGCTTGGCTTTAGCTGGCTTTGGCTGGCTTTGGTTGGCTTTGGCTGGCTTTAGCTTGGCTTTAGCTGGCTTTGGTTGGCTTTGACTGGCTTTAGCTTGGCTTTAGCTGGCTTTGGCTGGCTTTGGCTTGGCTTTAGCTGGCTTTGACTTTTAGCTTTTTGGAAAAACTCTGCTCACCTCATCATTCTCTTCAACCGGCTTGTCAAGCGTGAATGCCCATTGCTGTAGAACATCGCACTCAGACTAAAATTTGTTGAATAAAAATATAGGTACTTTTCGATTGAGGAGACAAATTTACACATTTGCATATCATATTTTGTACAAAATTTGCATGTGAAACCATGTTGAGAACTTGGTGAGATCTCTGACACAATTTCTCTTGAATATGACCACTGACACAATGTCTAGCAGGTTTTAAACCAAAAAAAAACACATAAGACACATCTTGTATCCTTTCTAACAGCTCATTTTGGAAAATGTGAGTAAAATGGAGGAGAAAGAGGAAGAGGAAGAGGAGAAACGCAAGTAAAAACATCAAATACCAAATTTTCATTTAAAATTTCAAACCATATCGGGGCTAGATATGTTCTAAAACCTTTTCAGCTACAACATAAAGTATTAAATCCATTAAGAAGTTAAGAAGTAAGCTAAGAAGTAAGCTAAGTAGTAGGCTAAGTAGTAAGCTAAGTAGTAAGCTAAGAAGTAAGCTAAGAAGCAAGCTAAGAAGTAAGCTAAGAAGTAAAGAAGTAAGCTAAGAAGTAAGGAAGTAAGCTAAGAAGTAAGCTAAGTAGTAAGCTAAGAAGTAAGCTAAGAAGTAAAGAAGTAAGCTAAGAAGTAAAGAAGTAAGCTAAGAAGTAAGGAAGTAAGCTAAGAAGTAAGCTAAGAAGTAAGCTAAGAAGTAAGCTAAGTAGTAAGGCTAAGTAGTAGGCTAAGTAGTAAGCTAAGTAGTAAGCCAAGAAGTAAGCTAAGTAGTAAGCCAAGAAGTAAGCTAAGTAGTAGGCTAAGAAGTAAGCTAAGAAGTAAGCTAAGAAGTAAGCTAACAAGTAAAGAAGTAAGCTAAGAAGCAGTAATCAAGCTTTCTTCACCACTTACATGTTCCGCATTCACTTTTCGATTGTTTACATTAATGTAAAAAGAGGAGAGATTGAGGCGATGTGCGTGCAAAACAATGACCGACGTCTCGTTCTCAACCTAAACCAAATCTGAATTTTATATATGTCGTAACCGTTTACGAAATTCAGCCGCTAACGAATGAGGGTATTTCCGGGCATCCAATCAAAAAGTCACCCACATAAAAAATGTTCATAATACATATATTTTATAATAAATTTTTGAAATTAGCTCATTTGGTTCAGTAGAAAATTTTTTTTTGAGCCCCCAAAGTTTAGGTTCAAAAATGGCTATAAAATATTTTCTACTCAGCCAAAAAACTTGCCTAATAGCTCATTTCGTAGCCAATTTGATGTAGTTTCTTAAAGTAAAGCCATCTAAAACAATTTTTCGTTGAAAGTAGGAGAAAGAGGGCGAGGAACAAATTCAGGGCAATGAAAACAGCGACCGAGTTCAACTGAAGTCGTTTCCTTGCCCTCTTTCTCCTAGCTTTGAAAAACAAATGTTCAATGTAGCTTTACTTTAAGAAACTACAAGATTACGCTAGCTGTTATTCAACATCGGATTCCTCATGCCCAAAATACTTTTTTCTATCACTATGCCGATCGAATCCTTCACTTTAAATTTGGACAATTCCCTTGTGAACGAAAAAGTGGTATTACCGTATTTACTCTATTAGTGGGGTCCTCTCTAATAGTGGGGTCCTCTCTAATAGTGGGGTCGTCTGGAGGGGGGTTGAAAAAATAGTGGGGTCCTCTCTAATATTGGTAACGAAAGTGATACATCAATTGTTGATCTCTTGGATTAGTTCTTTTACTGTTTGTTAATATTTTGTTACGGTTAAAGCTAAATAAAATATGAAGCCAAACTTGTTTTTTCAAGAATTTCGGAGAAAAATTGATATCTTTTCAACTTAAAACTTTGGTTTTATGTTCTTTTAAATTTCTCTAATAGTGGGGTCCTCTCTAATAGTGGGGTCGTCTGGAAGGGGATTGAAAAAATAGTGGGGGACCCCACTAATAGAGTAAATACGGTATATTGTGTTGATCATAGCATATATAGTCATACTATATAGTCAGACTTGGCATTTCACTCATTTCCGATTTTCTAAAAACTTAAGTCATAACTTTTTCTGAATTTTTTTTTGCGCCGATCTGATGCTTAAGAATAGTCCAAATTTAAGGTGAAGGATTGGATCGTGATAGAAAAAAGTATTTTGGGTATGAAGAATCCGATGTTGAATTTAGTTTTGTTGCCTAAACCCCTTGATTTTCGAGAAAAATCCCTTGCGAATTTGGGCACCTATGCTACTGGCCGAACGGAGGTTTATAACGGTTCTTTCCCTGAGCTTGTGCTTGTGCTTGTGCTTGTGCTTATGCTTGTGCTTGGGCTTGTGCTTGTGCTTATGCTTGTGCTTGTGCTTATGCTTGTGCTTGGGCTTGTGCTTGGGCTTGTGCTTGTGCTTATGCTTGTGCCTGTGCTTGTGCTTGTGCTTATGCTTGTGCTTGTGCTTGTGCTGGTGCTGGTGCTTGTGCTGGTGCTTGTGCTGGTGCTTGTGCTGGTGCTTGTGCTTGTACTTTTTAGAAAATCGAAAATGAGAAACGTGTGCCCAATGTTTAGAGGATATTACTTAGAGAATTTTCAAACGCAAACCCTCAAATCGATGGCCACTTGTCCACTTAAACGGCCCGCATCAATGTCGGGATGGATTGAAATGTTGTAGTGATCGGGTCGGATATCATTCGGTAATCGAAGTTCATCCCTGAATGTAGACTTAATCTAGATTCTCAGAAATTGAGGCTTTTCTTCTTTTCTCTGAACACCTCCTTTTCTCTTGACTCACCAAGGAAAATCTGGACAATGTTGCTCTATCAACTCCTCGAAATCATCACTCAACATTTCATCTCCATTTCCGCTTGATGTTGTCCAATTTAGCTAAAGCTTTTCTTTTCAACTGTACTGTACTGCACTGTACTGTACTGTACTGTAACATGTGCTGTACTGTACTGTACTGTACTGCATTGTACTGTACTGTACTGTACTGCATTGTACTGTACTGTACTGTACTGCATTATACTGTACTGTACTGCATTATACTGTACTGCACTGTACTGTACTGTACTGTACTGTAACATGTGCTGTACTGTACTGTACTGTACTGCATTGTACTGTACTGTACTGCATTATACTGTACTGCACTGTACTGTACTGTACTCTACTGTACCTCTTCTTTTCACCTGTACTGTACTGTACTGCATTGTACTGTAGTGTACTGCATTGTACTGTACTGTACTCTACTGTACATCTCTTCTGTACCTCTTCTTTTCAACTGTACTGTACTGTACTGCATTGTACTGCAGTGTACTGCATTGTACTGTACTGTACTCTACTGTACCGCATTATACTGTACTGTACTGTACTGTACTCTGGATTTATTTTTTGCTTTAAAATGCATCTCTTCTGGCACACATTTCCTGAACGATTTGGTAAATAAAGGAAAGATTCAGTGCACCAGAAAGGATGTTTACAAAGAGCACAAAAGTCGAAACGAGATCAGAAATTTTTGTGCTTACCAATTCTCGAAAAGCACCCGGTGTTAGATAGGTGTAAACAGCGGCCCCAATCGTCGCTCCCAAAATGAACATCACACAAGCGATCGCACAAAAAGCCGCACATCCCGAAGCACGGCGACGATTGTGTGGAAGACGGGGATCGCTCCACACTGAAATATTGTTTTTGCTTTTTTTTACGCTAAGTTTTTCAGTGGTACAAACTACAAACGTAAGCTTTTTTGCAGAAAGTGGTATAGAGGGGTTTTTTTTTTCAGCTAATGCTAGACAACTAGAATTCTTTTCTATTTTTCCATATTGTTTATATGCTTCTATTCTTTTCTTTTCTGTTGTTTTGTGTTTTTTTTTTATGCTAGACATGGCAGTAAAAGCTACAAACGTAAACTCTAAGGTAAACTATAAACGTAAGCTACAAACGTATACTAGCAAATTGCGTAAAATTCAAACTGTGACGCAGTGGTTCCAATTTGGTTCCAATATGGTTCCAATATGGTTCGGATACGGTTCCAATATGGTTCCAATATCGCCTCGCGCACCCAAGACCCGGGTTCGACCCCGGCCAGTGACCTTGCGTCTCTGGCAAACATTTGTTTACGCTTTCTGAAGCTGTTCAGCTGATCGTTCTCATCTAAACAAATCTCTACCATGTTCAACGGGTGAACTCCTCTTCCCGTCTTCATTCGTCTCGTCCACTAACAATTTCACTGTCGTCGGTGTTGGCATTTTGTTTAGAATCTCGAATAAACTAGTAATTTAGAAAGAAAATAGGTTTTGAAGCTTTAAAATAACATAAGTTGATTGGTCGAACGTGGAGTTGATCTGAAAAGTTTAAATTTGAAAATTTGAAATTCAAAATGATTGCTGAAAAGGCTGAAAAGGCTGAAAAAGCTGAAAAGGCTCAAGAAGCTCAAGAAGCTCAAGAAGCTCAAGAAGCTCAAGAAGCTCAAGAAGCTCAAGAAGCTCAAGAAGCTCAAGAAGCTGAAACGGCTCAAGAAGCTCAAAAAGCTCAAGAAGCTCAAGAAGCTCAAGAAGCTCCAGAAGCTCAAGTAGCTCAAGAAGCTCAAGAAGCTCAAGAAGCTCCAGAAGCTCAAGAAGCTCAAGAAGCTCCAGAAGCTCCAGAAGCTGAAAAAGCTCAAGTAGCTCAAGTAGCTCAAGAAGCTCAAAAAAAATTATATTTGAAGCTTATCTCGTCTTTTACATTGTAAATTTACATTTGAAGATCAAAATCAGTTTTAAATTTGCATTTTGTAAGTGTTTTGTGTTGAAGGATGATGGCCAAGTGGTTGTTTTTAGAGTTTGAAATGAAAATCTGTTTTTAGAGTTTGAAAAAGTCAACTTTTCGAGCTCAGATAGATCCAAAATGTATTCAATTGAGAAAAAAGAGTGTAAACTTTACAATTTCGAATTTCCAATGATTCCTTTTTACTTAAATTACTTAAATTCAATTCAAAGATGAAAGTTGAGCGTGAAAAGAGAAAAGAGAAGAAGAGCACTCAAGAAAGTGGGTTTCAAGTTTGAATTCTTGCGTTGAAAGATCGGATTTCAATGGGAATTTTGCAAAAGAAAGATAGAAAAAGATTTGAGGAGATGAGTAAAAGGGAAAAGCTCACAAAAGACAACAGTTCACACCGATCACAAATATCCCAAGATTTCACAAGGAGCTCAGCAGCTTCAAAGTTCTTTTGTCAACTTTCTCGAGAAGAACTCGATTATGGTAAAGTAGATTATGGTAAGGGAGGTTATGGTAAGGGAGGTTATGGTAAAGGAGGTTATGGTAAAGTAGGTTATGGTAAAGGAGGTTATGGTAAAGTAGGTTATGGTAAAGTAGGTTATGGTAAAGGAGGTTATGGTAAGGGAGGTTATGGTAAAGGAGCTTATGGTAAAGTAGGTTATGGTAAAGGAGGTTATGGTAAAGAAGGTTATGGTAAGGGAGGTTATGGTAAAGTAGATTATGGTAAGGGAGGTTATGGTAAGGGAGGTTATGGTAAAGGAGGTTATGGTTATGGTTTTAGATCAGTTTCACCCTCTAATCTCTATTTCATTTAGCGCATTTAGCGGACTCAAATTTTTAAGCAAAATTTGAGTCGCAAAACCGAGCTCTAGAGCTTCCAACCGAGCTCTAGAGCTTCCAACCGAGCTCTAGAGCTTCCAACCGAGCTCTAGAGCTTCCAACCGAGCTCTAGAGCTTCCAACCGAGCTCTAGAGCTTCCAACCGAGCTCTAGAGCTTCCAACCGAGCTAGTGCAAAACCGAACCGAAATGCTTGTTTTGCCTAAAGAAAAAGATTTGAGGAGATGAGTAAAAGGGAAACAGTTCACAACAGTTCACACCGATCACAAATATCCAAAGATTTCACAAGGATTCAGCATCAAAGTACTCATGGATGTGATTGCCGGTGTTCCCTAGTTTCCGAAAATTCTTGTCTTGTCTTGTCAACTTCAACTATCAACTAAAATCGAGAAAAACTCGATTATGGTAAACTAGATTATGGCTATGGTTTTCGATCAGTTTCACGTCACAAATGCAAGCTTATCTTGGCTAGAAAAATCATCAAATTTTTTACAAATTTCATTTTAAAGCAACAATCACGTTTAAAGTCTTCTATGAAGCGAAAGAAATTTTAAATTTTTACACAAATTCATAAAGCTAGTGAAAAAATGTCCGTAGATTTGAAATATCTAAACGAAAAAACTCGAAACTCTTTTAGTTTTTGAGAAAATCATCTTTTTGTAGAGCGCAATCCTATTAGGGTGGTGCAAAAGAAACTGCCGATGGGTATCAGCTCTCATTTATCAGAAGCGAGCGATGCTAAAGGCATTATTTTTTTAATGTTTTGTTCGCATATTTGTTTACTATTTATTTCGACATTTGAATTTTTTGGTTGTTGTTTATTTTATTCAAAAATGCTTATATTTTTTGATTTAGATCATGGTCGAGCAAAAGTTTGTGCTACGAGCAGCATTACTATTGGGTTGTCCAGTTATGAATGCGCGTTTTTTACTATTTTGTCAATTTCTCAAGATACTGAAATCAAGAAAAAGATATATATGAGTATTATTCGAAAGCTCAAGATCTCCTCTACATTTTGATATAAAAAGTTTTTGAATTTGTTCAGCTTTTGGGCAAATTGACTGCACAGAAGAAGAGGTGGCCAAAAAATGGAAGGGTGCCTTTGGATCAATTTGATGTTTGGCCAATAGATATATCAATACAACTTTTTTTAAATATAGCAATTTCAGAGCATCTTTTCTTTTCTGGGCGGTTATTTTACAGCATAAAACTTGAGGAATAGCTAAACTGAAATGGGTTTTTTCGAAAACGACTTCTCCCTTTGTGCAGTCAATTTGCCCAAAAGCTGAACAAATTCCAAATGTTTTTATATCAAAATGTAGAGGAGATGTTCAGCTTTCGAATGATATATAACACTCATATACATCTGTTCGATATCTTGAGAAATTTGCAAAATAGTAAAAACGCGCATCCATAACTGGACAACCCAATATTTAACTACAAAATTGCAAAGTCTGCTGCCGAATCGCATCGTTCTCTCTATGCTGCTTTCGGCAGTTTGTCTCTCAGACAGTGTCAGACTTGGTTTCAACGATTCCGAGAGGGAGACGAGGCTTTAGAAGATTACGAGCAGTGATTGCATACTTTTTAAAATAAAACGCTTCATCGATTACATAGTTTCCCAAAATTTCCGAACAATCCAATCTTCGGAAGGTTGATTTTCAAATTAGGCTCAAAATGCATTTTTGTGCTAATTTAATCCATTTTTGTTTGAATTTAAGCAAGATTTTTAAAAAAAAAGATTAAAAGAAAGAGAACGGTTCGATCGATTGGATTGTTCTGAAATTTTGGGAAACTCGATCGCGTTTTATTGGTCGAGCAAAATCGATGCAGCGTTTTATTTTTAAAAGTATACAATCACTCAAAAATATATTAGCTTATGAATGCTAGAAACCTTACATTAAAATGCCATTGAACTCTTACATTAAAATGAACAGCAAAAATAAGAATAAGCTTTTCTAGACTGGCAATAGTCTAAGAATCTGAACCAGAGTTCCAGCCGGGCTCTAGAGCTCGGTTGGAAGCTCTAGAGCTCGGTTGGAAGCTTTAGAGCTCGGTTGGAAGCTTTAGAGCTCGGTTGGAAGCTTTAGAGCTCGGTTGGAAGCTTTAGAGCTCGGTTGGAAGCTTTAGAGCTCGGTTGGAAGCTTTAGAGCTCGGTTGGAAGCTTTAGAGCTCGGTTGGAAGCTTTAGAGCTCGGTTGGAAGCTTTAGAGCTCGGTTGGAAGCTTTAGAAGCTTCTAGAGCTTCTAGAGCTTCTAAAG